GCTGAATATATTTAGCTCATAAAATATTTTGTTGTGATATAATTTCAAACTTCCTTTTCCATGACTGTCCTCTGATTTAGATAAGACAAATTTGAGGAGAAGAGATTTGTCAGCGCTGAATAACTATGATTACTAAATGGAACTTCTATGATTACTAGCAGCTGGTAAGCAGGAAAAAGGCTGTTAGCCTGCAAGCAGGGCATGAAGGTTTCTGGAAGCGTCTTTTTGGCCATGTTAGAAACAAGATGCTGAATTAGATGTCCCTTTGTTCTCATGTAACTGAGCTGCTTCTATGTTATGACTCTTTGTGATATATATATTGAATTCTTAGAAACAAAAATTAGTTTTTTATCAGTGTTGAATACAAAGGTACAATGATTTTAAACATTTCAGACAGTACAGAAACTTGGTGTAGTTTCTGACAGCATTGGTCCTTTGTGACAGCTTATCATTTACATATTTAACTTTCAATCATTTAATTAACTGTTACTTGTACATTTTCTATAGAAGTGCAGCTGGTTGCATTTCCTTCTCTCCAGTGTATATTTATGTGTAAATGTGCATGTGAACCTGTATACACACACACACACTTTATTCTTCTGAGAAAAGTTTGATACACCTGACTTTCTATAGAAATACAATTTGCATATTCTTAATTTTTGTATTTGTTTATTTTATTGTCATGTTCTATAGCTGAGTCACAGATAAAAATCTATTAAAAGGACTTTTTAATGCTTTGCTAGATATCCCTTTTGGATTTATATTGATACATATTCTTAGAGTCTCTGTGATTTTTTTTTAAAAAAAGGTTTGCAGTTGATTCTTATGGGATCATCCTGAAGACTTTCATTAGTAGACTTTGCAAAACTACTCTATGTAAATGGGATGTTGTCTTCCTGACTTAGTCATAATACTGAAAAGGCAAAACATGTTGCTACAGTGTATTAGAAACAATAGATTGGCAAATATTGTTTTGGTTCAGGCAGTCATGTGTTTTTTAGTTGTGTGTTTTACATGTGTGTTTGATTTATTTTATGCTGTCCATAGTCTTGGAGTTGGATAGCCTTAACAAATCCAATTAATAATACAATAAATGCTAATAGTAAATAGTTCATGACAATTTTAGCTTTTTGTTTTGCTTATTTCCCCTTCTCTCTCTCCCCAAACACTCTATTTTTGAATATTTTAGCATCTTCCTCAGTTTTACATGAGTTGTTGTATTTGAGTGTTAATGGTTTTGAGAACCCAGCTAACTCTGATGGAATCTTTAGTGAAGTCATTAAGCTGCTTTGATTTGAATATACTTCACCTTTTTTGTTTTTGCTTTGCCCATTGGTTATCATGACCTGTGATGCTTTCTCACTCTTTTCTGTTGTTCATTATTATTTGTTTTTTCTATTGCTAAAAAAATCAGTTTATAACCTTTAATATTTTTTTGTTAATTAATGCAAGCTTACCTAGCTGGGTTTTGGATATTTGATTTTTTTCATCTATTACTATACTAGACTTTTTATGTTACTAGACAGAAATTCAGATTTGCAATACATTTTCCTTTGGTCATTTACTTTCCACTTGAAAGAAAATAGTACTGGGCAAATAAGAGAATTCCATGCATTTATAATGAAATTTGTATATGTGTTGTGTTTATAGCTAAGAGTTAATGGTAAGGGTAGACGAAATGGGCTTCATTATTCAATTGTGAAAGGCAACTTTTTCAGTAAAATTTAATGAAAATATAGAGCTGTTACAGTTCTGGGTTACAGCAAGCCTTCAGCAACTGCTTTGTTTTTGTTAGTGAAACAAAAATAGTACAAAATAATTTAAGAAAAAAAGCCCTTGTTCCTCAGTTTTTTTCCAGTTTCCATGCTTTTTTTGGGAATCAGTAGTCCAGTGCTAGCCATAGCAGACTATTAATGAATACTGTGGCATGTTTTTTTTTTTTCAGGGAAAAAAAAGGCCATAAGTTAGTGACTTTGCATGGGGCTGTAGTTAAGAATAGTAGTTTCTGCATACCCCTTCTTGCACTGTGTAATTCTAACAAAAGAGTAAGATGCCTGGGAAATCTTCAGCTATAGTGTCCTATTTTAGTGTGAAAGGTAGAGAAGTGGAATATGATCTCTTCTAAAATGTCAGGTAGGTATGTTGATTGAAGCCAGTTTTAAAAAGTTGATTGCAGAGTTCATAAATATTGGATGCCTGTTTATTCCTATTCAGAAATTATTCCTCCATACTAAAAAGCTGTCAAAGGAGGATATTGAAATAGCACAAATGAATTTATTCTTAATACTGGAAATAAGGGAAAATAAAAGTAGATCTTCAAGTATGTAAAGTAAATAGATGTGGCAATGCAGTATGTAATTGGCTGTTGCTAAATTTTATATTAAGTCTTAGATTATTTCTGATAACAAAGGTATAATTTAAGCAAAGACAGGTTTGTTAGCTGTTCTTTTTATTAACAGTTCTTAATTCTATGGCTTTTTTTACTGCTTTAGAAAAATTATGTTACTACTGGAAACCATTAACATTGTTGCTTTCTTGCCCTGCTTCCATTTTGTACTATTATATAAAGGATTAAATTATTCTGTTTTCATTAATAAAAGTTATTGTGGTTTCTTGTGCAACTAGACATGACAGCAACATGGTCTAATCTGAGCTATTGAAATTTGCTTCTTTCAGAAAGGAGGCAGAAGCAGAGTAACCATGGAAGGGGGAATCTGTGCTTTTCTACTCATATTTAAATTTATAGAACTCTAGCAAGATAAAAATGGTTAGTGAGAAAAAAATCCTATCAAGAGAAAAAAATCAGTTTTCTGTCCATGCTGTATTTCTTCTGCTTCACTGGGAGTCGGTGGTGATTTGATACATGAAGAAAATTATTACATGGAGAATACTGGTCCCTTAAAATCCTGATGCTGTTTCATATTTCCACCTCCTGCCTGTTATCCTACCTCTACCATAGCATGGCATCTTCTTGTTATGGCAGGTGCTAGTTGTCAAGTATAGTATACTGAAATAGTGGCTTGTCTTATACGTCTTTCTGTTTTGTGACCAGAAGAAAAGGGTACCAACAAGCAAGACAAAACTGTTAAAATCAAGTCTCCCTCGATTATACAGAGAAGCCTTTGTTCTTTTCTTGGAGTTATTTGTCATTGCCCTTTTCCAGGATGTTATTTTGACTTTACAGTTTAATCCGTAGCACTGGGATTTTCAAGCTGTGTTAGAGGATTTTTCTCCATAGCAAAGAGTTCCTTACTGAGGAAGAACATTTTTTTTTCATTTGATATATTCTCTATTCTGTTTTTAAAAATCAACCGTACTTTTAGGGTTAGCGTGAAAGTTCAGTGAAAAATAATGATAGTGGCAAATCTCACATTTGTAAAAGCAGAGAATGGAGATAGACTGCTCAAAAATCTATTGCATGGGACAGGAAATAAACACAAGAGCATCTGAACATTGTTCCAGTTTATAGACCTTCTTCTTGACTTTTAGTTGCTGAAATTCTTTGGTTATGGCTTCTTATTTTTTTCAGTAAGCTACTTGGCCTGATTTCTTGCAAGCTTGCCTAAGCATTGAAGGTAGAATTGTTGGGAAATGCAATAATCAGTTGTGTCCTTAGGAGCATAGCAGAAGTGTAGTGTTTTCTAGTGTATTGTCTGCAAGGATACAATGGATATAGGCACCAAAGTAAGAAATGGCACTGAAGTAAGTAATTGATGCGCCTTTTCTTCTTTTTCTTTGTTCCCATCCGGGTTTATTTTCTCTGTCATATTTGTTCCTTTTGTTTTGTGTTTTTTTATTGTTTTCTTGTTTATAAATGTTTTTAACAATTTGTAAACCACCCAGAGTTGCTAGGAATTGGATGGCATATGAATTTAATAAATTATTATTATTAAATATAAATGGTCAAAGTCCCAACTGTTCCAACAGTTTGCCATTCTTACTTGAGATATCATGAGCTTTGGTATTCTTGCCTGAACTCTCAAGATTTCAGATAGAAATACCAAAATCTTGTAAGATTCTGAAAACAAATTAATTGTGGAGTCCCATAGATGCTGTTTGGTAGCTACCTGTGCCATGGTGCCTACAAGTTCTGCATGTCAAGCTTAGTGTCCTCAGTGTAGAGATTGGCATTAAAACAATGTTGGGAATAGTGCGCTAATGAAAAGGTTTCTGAGGGTGAGAGTGTAACCATGTATATCCACTTAAACCTAGTAAGTAGCCAATTGCATGTCCAGTGATAGCTTTCTGTACTTGTAAGAACATTGATATGCCATGAATAATAGTGTTCTCTTTGATGTACAGTGAAAATAATGCAACTATGAGCCCCAGGAAGAGATGTTTGACATTTAGTACTAGGTGTCAGAGTTGATTTTGTTAATAATCTGCAGATGGCTTGACTGAAACAAGTTTTTTTTTTTCATTATATTAGTCTTCTAGTACTAATAAGCTGTGCTTAGAGAGTTGTGGGGGCTGCTGGCTATTCAGTGGCTAGTTGGGTACAAGTTATCCCTGGTGATGAAGATGGAATCACATGGCCATGAACCTCTTACCTGATTCCTAAGTTTAAGAATAGGCTATAATTGCATTTTCTATGTATTCTATAATAATGATATAATACTGTTTGACCTTAAGGACATATCTTTAAAATAAACAGTACTGTACATGCTGAAGGAAAATACTTTTATTAGACTGTTTGGAAAGGATTTTTTTTTTTAATTCTGTGTCTTGTATTGCTGACAGTAATGTGGGAAAAAAGCACAGTTTTTATTAAATGTACTAGTAATCCCTTTAGGTTCTGTTGCTTTTGCAGTTGGACAGTTAATTAAATGATAGGCCATTTTTAGGAAAGCACAGCTTAGTGATTAAATATGCTTGGGTTAGGATTAGAATGTAGCTGAGCAATTGTTTTTTTAAATTCTCTCTGTATAATTAGATACTTGAAGTATTTATTACGATTATTCTGCAATTTTGTAAATATTTCCCTTAACATGAATATTCAGATATTTATCCAAATATCATCGCAATGGGTTTTCCTGCAGAACGACTTGAAGGAGTGTACAGAAACAATATTGATGATGTTGTAAGGTAAGAATGTGTTTTCAATGTCTGTCTCATTGACAAGCTTAATATTTTGTGGTTTGTCAGTTTGTTTAGCATTTGGGTACAATGCTGTTTGCAGCCAGTACTGATGAGAGAATAGTAGTATTTCGAAAATTTGGATTCTGTTCTGCAAAAGCACTCAGTAGGCCTAAGAAAGTACTAAGCTTTGAATTTTATCTAGTATAACATATATAAATATAGGCTTTTTAAATGCAGCACAATTTCCAAACAATTTTCTGAAGGAAATTGAAGAGATGTCTTTCTATGGCTTAACACACCTATAAAAAATCCCCCCCACATGTCATCCTTTCTCATGATGTAATTGCATCACTGCCTTGTCCATTGAAGTCCCTAATCCTGATAGGAATGCCCTTTCAACCATCAAAAAGTTAGCTTATCCCTGCCCTGTCAACTGAAACAAAAGAAGCTTTAATACATCTTCTGGTTTTCAAACATAAACTGTAGAATTGCTCTTTCAAATGATGATTTTGTAGAACTATATTTTATTAATCTTTCAGTATGCCAGTGCTGTCTGTTAGTCTTATTTCAGTCTAGCAAATGTCTTTTTGGGCCTCTGAAATTTATAATAGAGGAATTAAATATTTTAAGTATTGCTTATTGAATAATACTAAAACCTGCACAAATTCAGTTCTTTCTTGGTGAAAGTTATTTTTTCCTCTTACTTTATGTTTGGCATTGGCTATATTGTATTCTTGGTTCCCACCCACCCCCACCCCTATTCCGCATATTTATTACACTTCATAATTCTAAAGCTTCTTTGGGTGCCCATGGTTCAGAATCTGAAAAGGCTATTTCACAATATCTTCCCATGGGATATTATTGAAGCAGAGGAAGCTATGGGAATGGTAGATCACTGGGGAGATGATTATACATGGAAGGCAGATCATTGTTATAAAAAGTCTTACCACCCCACCCATGAGAATTTCCCTGAAATTATCTTACTACCTTGAAAAAGGTTTGATAGAAGTTGCCATCAAAGCACTAACATAACCACAAGTCAGAAAGGTGGTGAATGGGTTTGGTTGCTTCAAATAATATTTCTCTCTCTTACTATATGAGTGTTAAGTGTAACAAATCTCAGTCCCATTTTAATCTGCCTTCCATTATCTGTGAACCTATTCTTTCAATGCTAGCCTACAAATATAGAAAATAAATGTTGGGGGTTTTTTTGTTTTACTTTTTAATTTATTGTTGATGTTTCCTTTGTTCAATTAAAAATTAGATATAGTTGATTAATTTAAAAATAAATTACTTGAAATCGTAGGTGAGAGTTTAGAAATGTTTCATTTCACTGTGAGAACTGAAATTTATACAAAACAATTTAGTATTTAAAAAGTGTTATATCATAAGGATTGCCTAATTTTATTATCACACAAACTTTTGTGGATCGTTTCACTTAATCAGTTGGAATAAATTCCTGTGATGTTATATGTACAGTGCATGTGTATGGGGTAGGGTGGTAAAAATAGGCAGGATTGCTTTAAGAGACATAGAAACAAAATGGTATTGATAATGGTCACAAATAAGTACCACTTTGAGTTAGTCTGCAGAAAAATAAAAAAAGAATCTTGTGGCCCCTCAGAGCCAGCAGCTTCTTTATTGCACGTAATTTATAGGCCTGAGAAGATTTATATAGACACAGTTCTTTATGTCACAGTTATAATTTGGAGGATGAAATCCTTGAACCACATATTTAATTTAGGGCTGCGTAAAGCTTTCAGAGAGGTCCTTTGCAAAGTGAAGCACTCCTCAGAGTATTGAGGCAGTCACGTCCTCTAGAAAGCCTGGCACAGTTGCTTTATAGCTTTCCCAGGTTGCCCTCACATATAGACAACACTTTCCCCTCAAACTGTGGACATGCTCAAATGTCCACAGTTTGGACAGCCTTAGAAAGCAGCTGCTCTTCTGGTACATTTGGCTGCCAAGAGGGGTTCCTAAACCTCACTAAACTTGCCTCACACATCCTTAGTTCTAACCTGGAGAATGAACGTGATCTCCAGGGAATATGGTCGCTAGAACTCAGATGGCTTTTTAAATATTTCACAGACCAACCTCCTATCTTAGTTATTCTACCTAATGCTCATACTGATTATTTTTGTAGTAGAACTAGTACCACAGTGCCATTCCAGTTGTCATATTTTAAATGCCTTCAAGAAGAAGCTGTGATAAATTGATTGACTATCTTTCGGTTCAGATCAGGAGTTTAATAAATCTTTCTTTAATAAATCCTGGAAAAATATCTGTGTAGTCACTAAGAGTTGACAGTGACTTGATGGCACATAATCATCAATCAATATTTAATAAAATAGAGCAGTGAGAAATAAAGAGAAAATATAAAAAATTCAAAAGGAAAAAGAAAAATATTGTAATTACAAGATAAGTTATATTCCTATTTGATGAATAACAGTATTTATTATACTGTATATAATATACATACATCACACATTGAATGCATATTGTGAAACAGGAAGCCTTGAAATCTTTGTGCCTGATTTTCAGAGGTCTAATAGACACTAATTGATGTAAACTTGAGAATAAAAATTCATAGTGACTCATTCCACTCATTATTAATAGTGATATAAAATGTATTTTTGTACAAGAAAAATCAATGTGATTCTGCATATACAGAATTAATTAATACCATTTCTGGGAGAAAATGATACAGAGATTGCAAGAATTTTAGTGTTGCGTTTGCATCCATTTTTTGACAGTCTTTGTGATACAGAGATTTAGAGAAGGATAAAACAATTCTTTTAAAAAGCAAAACTGAAGAACAGGGTACTCTTCTGCCAAAGACCATGTATTATTAGTCTGATTAATCAAAATATTTTAAAAATAGGTACTAGATAGAGCAAACAAAAGAATCCTGAAATAAGTACTCCTATATCGGAGTTATTAAACCGTGGTTACATTTGTGGTTTTGACTTACCAGCTTTCTTTTGATTTGTTTTCTTGCCCAGAGACCTGAGAATCAAGATTATTAGACTATGAAGTAGGTAGTAAGTTGGCAAAAAGACCAAGAATCAGCTGTGATTTGAGAATTGATCTATAAGAATACATTTCACAGATAGGTCAAATCTGTTTAGACTTAATTTCATTTGGCATGAAGGTGTGTAGCAAATAATGGATAAATGGAAAAAAAAAAAGCTTCTAACATAGAGAACTTCAAGTATATATTATTACTTCTCAGATGTTATATACTGATTAGTTTAATTTGTATATACTTGAGATGAATAAAACTTTAACATTCTGATGCAATTTTTAATTAAGTTAGACTTTAGGTTTCCCTTAAAAGTAATCTGAATTATAATAAATATATGAATTAAATACAAATCTAAAATCTTTTACAATTCAACTTGCTATTACTATAATATATTATTTTGTTTAAAAAAATCAGACTTTTTAAAGAATCACAGTTAACTTGTAATGATAGCAAATTATTCTGAAAGAAAAAAGTACTGGGAAATATTAATTATCCTATATCATGTAGTAAACTATGGCATAATATTTTGGACAAGGAGTTCTATAATTTGAGGAATGGCATTTTGGTGCTTTATCCTAAGATTAGTGACTAAATTGAGTCAAATAATTATTCAGTTCTATTTGAAAACTGCATTATTCTTGTACTTAAAACTATTTATGCCTCTAAAAACTATTTGACTGAAGCTGAAACTTGATAATTGGACAGTGGATTTGCATGTAATTCAGCACATTGGTATAAGAATATATTTTTATAAACTTTTTTCCTGGAATTTATGGGTGAAATAATCATAATTTATTGAGCTGGCATGTGTGGATAAGTACATTGTGGCTTCAGTCACAAGTATCTTTGTCCGTTTTTTAATGTAACACTAAACCATTAATTCTGTCTTAACAAGTGTGCAGTAGCAGTGTACTCATGCATAGAGCTTAATCAGTTCATCTGAGCAGGTAAATACCAAGGAAGCCACAATTAAACAGCTTCCTTGATACTAACAATGTAGATTGAATTACTTCTGAGTAAACAAGAATTCATAAACAAATTTGAAATCCTGAATTGATGGTTTACCATAGCATACAGATATTGTCAAGTTTCCAAGCTAGAACTCAGAACCTTCCCAGTCTATACAACAAGACTAGATAGGAATCTTTATTGCATACTAAGATGAAGCCAATATAAACAGTTGATTGCCTCTACCAACAGTAGTGATAGTCTCCTTTTATCCTTACTGCAGCTTAAATCTGGTGCTTCTTTTTCCTGCCTTTCTCATAGCTTAATGGATTTTTGCTTTGGACTTTTCAGTCTTGAAGCTGTTGGTTATTGACATAACTGACAACAGTTGTTTATTGATATAACTGACATTTTTGCCCTGAGAAACTCAGGCTTCCATCTTAACTCCCAGTGATATAGCCTCTGTTAAATCTCATTCAGGTCTGATATATTAGGAACTCGTTCTGTTAAGCTTTTTTTCAGCTTGAGAAATACTGATTCATGAAGTCAGATTATGATTTTGCAAGAAATAATTACATCTGTTTAAATATATGTGATAAACTTTATGAGTGGTGTTTGATAAATGATGCAGTGTCATTTATTCCCCAGCATATGAAGAAACTATTTAAATTATTAAAATACTATTAACCAAATAGCATGTGAGTTAAAGTTTTAACTACAGATAGTCCCCAGTTTAAGAATGAGTTCTGTTTCTAAGGTCTGTCCTTAAGTCAAATTTATATGTATTATTGTATATTACTGTATAAGTAGTATTGTGTAATTAACTCAAACCATTGTGTACTTAACTTGAATTTTGCTACAATAGGCTCCATTCTTAACTATGGGTCGTCCTTAAACCAGGCATTCTTAACCCGGGGTCTACCTGTATAATTGTTGAATATTGGGCTTTCCTAGAGTATTGAAAGAAAATTAGTACATTTTGTATAGTGGATGTAATTAAAAATACATAGAACCACAGCTTTGCTTAAAAACTGATTATTTGAATTTGGGGTTTTTCCTACAGAAATAAAATTTGAAGCTGCCTCTGCTTTGTTTTCTTTTGTGAAATAGAGTTGAATTTATTTTGATTTCAGATGGATTGTGTGAAACCTAAAATTAGGCTTCAGCTTAGAAGCTAGAAATGAACTTTCTTGAGTTCAGTAACAGGAATACTTTTTAGAGTTATATATACACGTAAAATTTAACATTTCCCTAGATTTATAACCCTAAGGGAAAGATTATGGGAGTAAAAAGAAGCTGCAGTTGATGTTATATGTATGAAATATTTTGATCAAAATGCTCTCAGCCTTAATGATACTCATATTTTATTGAATACTATTTTTAAAAAATTACAGCAAAATGAGTTTAACCTATGACTTTTCCTTTAAGGTTTCTGGATTCAAAACATAAAAACCATTACAAGATATACAATCTGTGAGTATGCTTTTTGTATGTAGCTTCCATATATGCTGGCCTTAAATATATTAAGATGTAGTAGAGAGTTAAACATTTAAAATACTGAATGGAAGCATGGTGAGATCATTTGATAAGGGCAGAGTTACAGTGCAAGTTTAATGTTATTGCTCTTTTTTTCAATTAACAAGAAACCTATTTTATAACCCTTTTTTATCAAGAAATATAATTAAGCAGGCCATGAAAAAAGGCAAGTTGGATAACATGTTTTAGTTTTAGCAAATGAATGACTTCATAGTAAATTAAAAAGAGAATTAAAGTATTAATAACTCGTAAGTTGGGATGATACTTTATTCCCTAAAGTAATTGAGACTTTGGCCTTTATTTCCTAAGGATCCTTATTGGGAAAAGCAGGTATAAAAATAAATTCTTAGTATTGATTTTCTTAGTGTCTTTTTTAAAGAAAATTTCAATATATTCATATTAAAATTTAAGTTTGATATTTAATAGGAAGATGGGGCTTTATTATATTACCTCCTTCCCTACTTAGCTTGGTGTTATTTAGGTGGGTGTTGCTTTTCTTTGGTGGTAGAAGGGAGTTATTAGGGAAGGAATGTGTATTTATCAGAGTCCCAGGTTTGCCTAGGAACCTCATGGCCAAATGGTGATATAAACTCTCACTTTCTCTGAGTAATTCACCTTTCCTATAATAAATACATCTTTTTTTTATTATTACCTTCAGATTTATGTGCACTGTAATTTTATTACCTTGCCTAGAAATGTATTAGGACTTAGGCATACAATGATTATCATGTTAATGTCACTAATAAGAGAAAGAGTTCTGTAGATAGCTATTATGTTTGCAAATATACAGGTAGTCATCACTTACCAACTGCAATTGGGACTGGCAACTCTGTTGATAAACAACAGGGTTGTTAAGTAAAACATCACGTGACTGCACCTGACTTATGACATCAGTTCTGGCTGCGGTTGTTAAATGAATCACCCGCTGACATTAAGTACAATGTCACGTGACCATGGCTTGTGGCTTCCTGCCAGTTTCCCCATTGACTTTGTTTGCTGGAATGGCATTCATGTGACCACAGGACGCTGCAATGATTGTAAATACATCGGTTTCCAAGTGCCCAAATCGCAATCATGTGACTGGGGAAGCTGCAATGGCCACAAGTTTGAGAACTGGTCATAAGTCTCCTTTTTCAGCGCTGTCATAACTTTGAACAGTCACTGAACAAGCAGTTGGTAAGCAAGGACTACTTGTACCTTTATTTATCTACAGCATGAAGAACACCTGAACAGAAGTAAAGTCCATTACGCTTTTCTTTATGATTATAATATTACATTGTAGAAAGAAATTTGTATATAATAAGTGTGTCCCCTTAGTAAATGATAAAATGATGCTTTATGCAGTTGTAACTTTTTCTTTCAGGTGTGCTGAAAGACATTATGACACCGCCAAATTTAACTGCAGAGGTATGTTTGGTTTATACATAATTTAAGAAACGAGAGCAATCACAACATTCAATAATAATTCCATTTCAGATCTGGAGTGTTATGTGTAAATATTAGTAAAATAAAATTTCTTCCTTGTTCCATCCTCTTTATTATTTTGGGGGTTAATTCTGGAGGGTTGGCCTCTTCACAAACATTTCACGACATAGAGGACTTCCACACATGCCAAATACCTTCCAGAATGTCATGCGGAAGTGCAATCCCAAAAATTCCATTTTTAGTTCCTTGCATCCCTAGGTCTAATTCTTAAACACTCCCAAAAAATTTAAAAAGACTGAAAATTTGCCCCTGTCCTTTCAGCAGCCCTCCAGAAGTTTGGGAGGCTGAGTTATGTCCCCCAATTCCTCAGACTTTGCTTGCTTTTAGCTTAACAGATGATTACACAGCCTCATAGTTATCTAGTTGCTCCTTAGCAGCTCAGCTGTCTTCAGATAGACATATACATTTCCATATATTGAAAATGCTTAGAGAGAGAGAGAGATTAATGTTATACAGGATACCTATTTGTGGCTCTATAAGTTTCAGATAGTAATTAGGACTAATATTTTCTTTATAGCCAGAATTTGCACTTTATTTGATCTCTGAAAGCAACAAGAAGTTCAGCTAATGAAGTGATATCTCCAGAGTATACTCTGTCAGTTTTTTGGTAAGAGAGGGATTGAAGCAATAAAATATTGTTTCTTTGAAATAAGAAGAATAAAATTCATCTCATTGGAGAGAAGGCAGGTATCTTAGGTCTCTGAGAGGTTCGTTTTTGGGGAGAAGCCCCAGGAAAAGTAACTGCAAAAAAACAACAACACCCAAAACAAAACCTTGACTCTTTTGCTCTCAGATTTCATCACCCATAGTATAAAGCAAATAAATAAGTAAGTATCTTCAGTATGTAGTCTGGGAATACCCTACAGTCACAAAATGGGCATTCAGGGGTTAATGCAACCCATGGACTACAAGTTGTATACCCCAGCATATAGTAAGCAAGGAATCTAATTTGTTAATGCATCAGCTTTTGTAGCTGTGTGCCCACGTACTTCTATTTGATATAGTAGGTTTTTCATATGATTAAAAAACCAGCAACATGTTACTTGCTGGGCTCCATAGCCTATATGATTTTCCTTTATTATTTTTGGATTCTTTTAATTAAAAAAAGGAGGAAGCACTATAAATAGGTATAGCCTGCAGAGGGTCTTGTGAGTCTTACAGTTCAAAACAGAACATCTCAGACATTTCATTCCAAAGATTGTTCTGGGCCCTGCATATACCCCTGAGGCATATTGAAAATAGACATCTTAGGGGCTGAACCTCAGTCCTCTCTTTGGAAGTGTGCCCACTACCCCAGTAAAATACATGGTAAACTGATGTTAGAGAGCAAGGTGTAAATAATGGTATGGGGAACAGCATCACCATTTTGCTTTCTTGTAAATGGTTGTTTTACCTTGTCCATGCACATTGAAATAGCTATTTTCTGAGAGTGGCCATAACATTTCTCAAATTTTAAAGATCCTAAAAGATGGATTGGGAATGGACCTGTATTTAACAATAAACGGCCACTGTAGAGGAGCAGCAGCAAATAGACTTCCTGTAGAAACATGTAAAATATGTATACTTTTAAACTGGAAACTACTGTGTAAAGAAAGTGAAAGCAGTACATATCTCAGAACTATAAAGAATATTGTTTTGCATGTTGTGCTTAGTGGTTTATTCAACAGAAATCAAGCACAGCTGCCCTTCAAACCTCCAACTGAAGGGGTAGAGAGTTTAGACAGAGAAAATATGAGACTCGTGTGTGCAGCCCATTCTGTAGGTTGAGCCCTTCACATGTCTAAACATATGCCTAAATAAGGTCTCCATTTTTTTTCATGAGCTGGATATCATGAAGCCTTCCAGCGTCTGTTTAAAAGTGTCCATTGTAACACAACTTCTCTGTAGTGATCTCATCAAAAGCCCCCCCCCCCCCGGACTGCCTCAGTCACTGAGAAATGTAACTATTTAATCCTTTCCCAACTGTTCTCAAGAAAGAATTAAGGGACTGTTAACACTGCAATGCAGATAAATTGCCAGGGTGAGAAGAACCTGTCCTATAACATAATGAATTGCCAATCTGCAAGAGTGAATATAGTTTTTGTAGAAAGTTCAGTAGTCTTCTTTCATTACAGTCAATAATATAAAGAATTTTTGGTACTCAGTGATATGCAAGCTGAAGCTATCTAGAAGACTGTTTTCTTACATTTTGTGGTGAAATGTTTTTTGTTGCTGACCAACTTGCTAGCTTTTGATTTGTCTGAACATACCTCATTGATTTAACACCTTGCAGCAAAATTTTGAACTAAGGAAAATAAGCTAATTATCTTATCTCATTATTGAATACATTTACTTTACTACCAACTATCTTGATTTAATGTAATTTATAAACTTTGCTTTAGTGTTATGCGCAGTTCATTCTTTACCCACACATTCCCTGGCTGAGAGGTGGTAGAAAACTTGCTTTCATTTTCAGTTAAACTCAGTTACATTTGAATCTTGGCCTGGGATTAATTTTACATATACAGGTAGTCCTCGACTTACGACCATTCACTTAACAACCGTTCAAACTTACGACAATGCGACTTACAGCTGGTCCTCGCACTTACAACTATTGCAGCATCCTTGCAGTCATATGATCAAACTTTGGACGCTTGGCAACCAGCATGTTTTTACAACAGTTGCAGCATCTCAGGGTCACATAGTTGCCATTTGCAACCTTCCCAGCCAGCTTCCAGCAAGCAAAGTCAACGGGGGAAGCTGGATTCGCTTAATGGCCATGGTGACTTGCTTAATGACCATGGCAAGATTGCAAACTAAGGTTGTAAAATTTGGTGCAACTCACTTAATGACCGCATCACTTAACGATGGAAGTTCCAGTCCCAGTTGTTGTCGTAAATCAAGGACTACCTGTAGTTGATTGCAACAAATTAAACCAGAATATATCATTAGTCTTGCTGGTGCTAAATATGAAAATTGAAAGAGGGAGTTAATGAACTTAAAGCTTGTTTATATGATACTAAATCATGTTTAAGTTTTACATCTAGTTGCAATTATTGTTTCTGTGCATGTGTAAAACCAAGGAACTCATGGGTATCCCTATTTTTTTTTTTTTAATTACATAGTCAGATAGATTATTTAGACCAAACTATGGGCAGTTTTCAGTATCTCTAGATTTTTTCATTGGAGTTTCTTGGAGGAAATGGAGAGCAATGATGTTATGATTTTGAGTTGTAAAGCAGTGTTTTTAAGATAATCTGTGCATGATAATCTTTAATAGACTTAGACTCAGTAACACTCAGAACTTTTTACTTAAGGAACTATACATCAGCTTTTTAAGTAAGGAATACAGTAAAAACCTTTGAAAATTGGCATTCAGTTTAGTAATACATTTTTTTGTTTTGTTTTATAGTTGCACAGTATCCTTTTGAAGACCACAACCCACCACAGCTAGAGCTCATCAAACCTTTTTGTGAAGATCTTGATCGATGGCTTAGTGAAGATGGCAATCATGTTGCAGCAATCCACTGTAAAGCTGGAAAGGGACGAACTGGTGTAATGATTTGTGCTTATTTGTTACATCGAGGAAGGTTTCAGAAGGCACAAGAAGCCCTAGATTTCTATGGGGAAGTAAGGACCAGAGATAAAAAGGTGAGAAACTTTCCTTTTCCATATTGATCTTCTCTTTGCTGAGTCTTGATTCTTAGATTTCACTTTATTTTATTGTGTCTTTAGTGTATTATGGATGGTGAATGTGCAATTAATAATATTGTGGAGTTATTTAATTTCCTTTCACTTTTGTGATCAGAAACAACTGTCTTTAGAAAAAAATGTGTTCGTTTTTCTTTGCACTGCAAAAATGAAAAGTGTTTAAGATTTCAGATTCACCACAGTGCATTTTGCTCCACTTTCTTAGATTTGTAATCTGGTTACTCTAAGCATTCAGCCATTTAGTAAATGCTCTCTTTTCTTACCTGACACGTGTTCACAATGAACAAATCTATATATAATTATGATAATATTTGGAAAATATACTTGTTTCCTGTTTCCACTGTCTAGTTTCATATGAGTATCATCAATTTTTACTAGATACAGAGCAAGTAGAAGCACTTACCTGAATTTATCTGAAAGCTTGACAAATGAGACCTGTTAAGACTTGGATGGGAAACTGCCAGAAAATCCCAAAGCCATAGACCAGGCTGGGAAGTTGGGGGGAAAAAAGAAAAAAAGAAACATCCTGGAAGAAGGCAATGGCAAATGACTTGTTTTGTTGCCAAGAAAAGTTTATTGTAATATCAGCAGTCATTAGAATGCAAGCTCAATCTGAGGGAGCCTTACCTTGTTAGGAAAATTACACACTCCCCTTTGATCCATGTCAGAAATGTAATATTTATTAAAAGAGGAAATACACATAATGAAAGCCTCACATAGGATTATCTTACTGATGCAGCTGTTAAGGGCACAGCTATGTTTCATTTGGGAAGGAAGCCACATTAATGTGCCTGCTTCCTGCTTATATGTTAATAAGATATAATTTGCTTAGTTGATTCATTGTATGAATTTCAGTTAATTGATCTGTTAACCCTGCCTATAAGTAAAAAAAAAATTCTGAAAAAAGCCACCAGTTTTGGGTGAAGCATGCAAATATCTCAACAGATACATTAGTTCTTAATAATGAGGACAAGCATCTGCTTTCCAAATACATTAGTAAGTACGTTCCTTCAAAAAATCTGCTCAGTTTGAGTGCAATTTTTACTAAAGGAAAAGTATTTTAATAGGTTGAAAGTTGAAAAGTTCAATTTTTAGGGTTGAAACTGGCAGTTTCAGTTTTAAAACTAAGGAAGTTTGTAATCATCATATCCAAAATCTGCTTTTTCAAAATATGGTACAGCTGTCATGGATCATGTACTGTCAGCCAATGCTGCAAATTGCCTTTTCCTATTTTATAAATTATATTGAGTGGATGAAAGGGAATATAGCAGGGTTAGATTCTACAAAGCACCTTCAGAGAGAGGTTTATCTTCAGTTGACAAAAGTTGTCCAGTTTGGTGGTTTGTTAAGTTGTAGCTATTTAACAGACCTTCCTATTTCTACTAAAAAATTAATGTAGGAAAAAAAAAACCCTGCTTACAGATTAATGTCCCGGAGAAAGGAATAAAGTTTATTTTTATTGATGCTTTTTAACTCTTTAATGTATAATGTATATTATAAAATACTAAATAATTTTAAGCACACATCAAATAGTTCTTGAGTCAGAGATATCACCTAAACCTATGTTAAAGGTATTTTGTATTGAATCAGAATTATTTGATCCTTAAGTTCAGGAAGCATATTTTCTCCCTAAAGCTTTGCAATTAGTTTGCAATGCTGTAGCTTCCCCATAGTTAGCACTAAATCGTGATTTTAATGTGAGAGAGGGTATAAGGTTATTATATGCATGGAGACTAATCATTTTAACTGATCAATGCACATTTATCTGACTTGATGCTACTGCCTTTTGAAGTGGCATTATCTAGCATGCCACTTGAAGACCAAGTATTGCTCTCTGCCTAAATGGTTTGCACATCCCTGCTTAAGATGCTCAAGTTTTTAAGGCAGTACAGTGGTACCTCGGGATACGAA